GTTGCGAGGGCCAGCGAGTGGTAGTTCGAACCCCAAGTGGGGGAGAACTGATTGTATATGGCGAGGGCACCAGAGTGGGATCAGGGTTTTGCTTAGCTGCCAGGGCTCGGCAGTACATTCAGCACGGGTGTGCGGGTTATCTAGCGTATGTGGTAGATACGCGAGTCAGGGATCAGATTTTGGTTTCCGATGTATCGGTGGTCAGGGAGTTTGTAGATGTGTTTCCGGAGGAGTTGCCAGGGATACCTCCGGAGAGGCAGGTCGAGTTCAGGATCGACCTGGTGCCAGGTGCGGCCCCTATCGCTAAGGCACCGTACCGATTGGCACCACCAGAGATGCAGGAGCTGTCGTCGCAGCTACAGGAACTGCTGGGCAAGCAGTTCATTCGACCTAGCAGTTCCCCATGGGGAGCGCCGATTATTTTTGTCTGGAAGAAGGACGGTTCGCACCGGATGTGCATTGATTACCGGGAGTTGAATAAGTTAACGGTGAAGAACCGTTACCCACTCCCGAGGATAGACGATCTCTTCGATCAGTTGCAGGGCGCATCTTGGTTTTCCAAGATAGACTTGAGGTCTGGGTGTCATCAGGTCAGGGTCAGATCCGGCCAAAATCGAGGCGGTTATGCAGTGGGAGATTCCGAAATCTCCCTCAGATATTAGGAGTTTTCTGGGATTGGCAGGGTACTACCGGAGGTTCATACGGGATTTCTCCAAGATTGCAGTACCCCTCACTCGTCTGACGAGGAAGGGGGTGGATTTTCGGTGGGGCCCCGAGTAGCAGAGGGCGTTTGAGACCCTCCATCAGCGTTTGTGTGAGGCACCAGTCTTGACTCTTCCGGAAGGAGTCGAGGATTTTGTAGTGTTCTGTGATGCATCCATCACAGGTTTAGGGGCGGTCCTCATGCAGAGAGGACGAGTGATAGCCTATGCATCGCGGCAGCTGAAGCCGCATGAGACGAGATACCCTACGCATGACTGGGAGCTGGGGGCGGTGGTGTTCTCCCTCAAGATATGGAGACATTACCTCTATGGGGTCCGATGTACCATTTACACGGATCACAAGAGCTTGAGACATATCATGGATCAGCCGAACCTGAACATGAGGCAGCGCAGGTGGCTGGATGTAGTCAAGGACGACGATTGCGAGATCCTTTACCACCCTGGTAAAGAGAATGTGGTTGCGGATGCTTTGAGCCGCAAGTCAGCTGGGTCTTCCACCCCCGCGGTATGTATGAGGATAGCGGTGGATTCTCCGCTTGTGAGTTTGATCAGAGATGCCCAGGTAGAGGGCATGCGACCGGAGAATTGGAAGCTGGAGAGGATCAAGGGTGAGAATACCCGGTTCGTGCAGGATAGTCGGGGACTATTGACCCGATGCGGTCGGGTTTGGGTTCCGATGTCTGGTGGGGTTAGGCAGACGGTTATGGAGGAGGCTCATAAGTCTCATTTCTCTATTCACCCGGGGGCCACCAAGATGTACCGGGATTTGAGTTTGAGCTATTGGTGGCCGTGCATGAAGCGAGAAATCGCTTGGTACGTCGAGAGGTGCTTGACCTGTAGGATGGTCAAGGCCGAGCATCGGAAGCCGCATGGCAAGCTACAGCCCCTGGAGATTCCCATGTGGAAATGGGAACAGATCACGATGGATTTTATTACCCAGTTGTCGAGGACGATAAAGGGGTTTGATGCTATATGGTTCATCGTGGATCGATTGACCAAGAGTGCCCATTTCTTGGTTATACGGGAGAGCTCATCGGCCGAGAAATTGGCCGAAGTGTACGTTCGTGAGATCGTGTCTCACCATGGGGTTCCCGTTTCCATTGTCTCTGATCGGGATGTCAGGTTTACCTCCCGCTTCTGGCAAAAGTTCCATGAGGAGCTGGGCACGCGGTTACACTTCAGCACAACATTCCACCCGCAGACAGACGGTCAGAGCGAGCGGACTATTCAGACCCTCGAGGACATGTTGAGTGCGTGTGTCATTGATTTCGGTGGGAGTTGGGATTCTCACCTACTGCTTGCGGAGTTCGCCTACAACAACAGCTATCATTCTAGCCTTGGCGCCCCGCTATTTGAGCTGTTGTACGGGCGGAGATGTCGTACCCCGGTTTGTTGGGGTGAGGTTGGTCACAGGGTCATGGGTCGGACGGAGGTGGTCTTGCAGAATACCGAGAAGATTCAGCAGATTAGGCAGCGACTGCAGACCGCTCAGAGTCGGCAGAAGAGTTACGCCGACCGGCGCCGCTCCGAGTTAGAGTTTCAGGTCGGTGACATGGTACTCCTGAAGGTCTCGCCCTGGAAAGGCGTGATCCGCTTCAGGAAGAGGGGAAAATTGGTTCCCCGATATATTGGGCCATTCAGGATCATTGCCAGGGTTGGCAAGGTGGCTTACAGGCTAGAGCTGCCGGAGGAGCTTAGTCGGATACACAGCACTTTCCACGTTTCGCAGCTGCGAAAGTGCATTATGGATCAAGAGGAGGTGGTGCCGCTGGATGATATTCAGGTTGATGAATGCCTGAATTACGTAGAGAGGCATGTGGCCATACTGGAGAAAAAGATGAAGATTCTGAGAAATAAGGAGATACCTTTGGTGAAAGTACAGTGGGAGCATCGGAGGGGGTCCGAGTGGACGTGGGAGACGGAGGCTGAAATGTGGGAGCATTACCCAGAGTTATTCGCTGCACCAGACTTCGAGGACGAAGTCTAATTCAAGTGGGGGAGAATTATAACGCCCCGATTCTCAGGTATTGATTTAATGTGTGAGTTCTTGATTTCAAGGGCTACTCGACGAGTTGATTGCCCTACTCGTCGAGTAGCAGCGGGTTGGTCCACGTATTTTAATGACCTACTCGCCGAGTCCAAGAAGGGACTCGACGAGTAGGAGCTGGCAGATGAAACCCTAAATCTCAGGGTTTTGCACCCTATTTAAAGAATCATTGGCCTCCCCCAGCCTCCCCTTTACTGCCCCTTGTCCCTCTCAAACCCTAAATCGTGTGTGTGTGTTCTTTGGTGTGTTCAAGCTTGGAGGAGGAACTTTGGAGAAGGAAACACTTGGGGAAGCAAGGAAATCAAGGCTAGGAACTCGTGGGAAGCTAAGAGATTCATCAGTTGTCACTCTCTGGAAGGGTGGTGGAGCTCGTGTTGGTGATCCGGGAGTTGAGCTTTCTAGTTTTAGACGACAGTTGCAAGGTGAGTTATCCTCACTATACTAAGGGGTCTAAGGCACCAAGGCCGGCCCATTGGATATGTTATCTTATCAGTGTTAGATGTTGAGTATGAGTTAGTGTTGCATGTTAGTGGGTTATTCCAGTTAGGTAGATCTGTAGGACTACCTATGATGTTATATGATTATTGCATGCTCAGTAGTTATGTTATATGTTACATGTTATGTGGGATGGGTTGAGGTTGTACTGCTCCAGGCAAGGCTGAGGGCCAGGCAAGGCGTTCCAGACTCATACTGAGGACTCGAGAGCATTCCAGATACGAGTTGAGGGCCCGGTAGGCATTCCAGACTCGTACTGAGGGCTCGATGGCATTCCAGATACGAGCTGAGGGCCCGGTAGGCATTCTAGACTCGTACTGAGAGCCCAGGGGTAATTGAGCTCGTAAAGCTGTGGACCCATTGTATGTTGTTTCATTTTATTATGATATGTTATTACTGATATAGTTAGGTGGACTGTATGTGTATCTGTATTTTGGGGGTAACTCACTAAGCTTTCGGGCTTACAGTTTCAGTTTATTGTTTCAGGTACATCAGGGGATCGCGGCAAGGCGAAGGCATGATCGTACAGCTCCTCATATTATGTTTATGTTTCTGGGAATACTCTGATAAATAATATTTTGAAAACAAATTTGTAATGTTTTGATGAACTTGACATGTTTTAAAAGTTTAAATTTGTTTGAAATTATTGGGTGTTACATACTTATATAACACAAAAATAAATATATTCACAAGAAAATTAAAATAAAAATTCATACATAAATCATTAATGTTCCAATACAAAATTATACTTAATATAATCAATTCACAACTTAATACAATAAATTACAGTTTAATATACAAAATTCACAACTTAATATAACAAATTCATAATTTAATATACATAAATGTTATATATTCTTAGCTTAAAACCTATATTTATAACCTCAAATAAAAAATTCACAGTTTAATACAATTAATTCACAATTTAATACACAAAAGTGATAGTTTAATACAATAAATTCACAGCTTAATACACAAAATTTATATATTCACAGTCATATTATCAACTTAAAACATATATTTATACCTTCATATCTTGAGGCATTTATGTGTATTAAAATGTGAATTTATTATAATAAGATGTTAATAAAATTCACAGGTTAATATACAAAATTTTTAGTTTAATACATTACAATCACATCTCATTTACATGTATAAGATTCAGATATGAATAAAAAAAAATCAAAATTCACAGTTTAATAAAACATTTCAGATGCTAATTTAAAGCTTAATTAAATATTGCAAACAATTTCACAACTTAATGCCTAAAAAATCAGAATTTATAGTATAATACACACTTCAAACACTAATTCACACCTTAATACAAAATTTTAAACACTTATTCATAGATTAAAAACTTACAAATCTCGTTGAAGCATTTCATCAAACACCTTGTATGAATATTGTTTTTAGATCTGATGTGATTTACAGATCTGAGATTGTCATGTTCCTTAAAGTCTCCGGATATTCAAGATCAGGGCAGATCTAACCAGATATAAGAAACTTTTGACATCAGATCAAAAATGTTGATGGTTGTTGATGAGTTTTCCCGCAATCTGAGGCGAGGAGATGGTGATGGTGGAAGAGATATGATACGGTGGTGGTACCATCGGTGGCCACCATGAAATGTTTCATACACACAAGGTCTATGCCTGAAATTACACCAAACACATCAGATTTAACTAGATCTAACCAAATCTGAGAAATTAGTACGTTTTTGCTTCAGATCTAAAAGGTTAATGATGGTTGGTGACTTTTCTGGCATCTTTGGCTTTAGATATAAAAGGTTGAGGGAGACGACATGACGTTTTCTGGTGCTTTGGAGAGGTTAGAGGTCGGAAGGTGGTCGGAAATGAAGCAAAACTCACAGATCTGAAGTAATAGAAAGATGATGTCGACGATGAGGGCAGATCTGAATGCAGATGTTCTAGATCTGAAGTTAGCGACTCCAGATTTGAAGGTTGGCGGCCGGTGGTTCCGAGATCAACGTCGATGGCAAGAGGTTTCGGTGAGGGCGATAAAAGCATATCTGAAGGCAAATGTTCTAGATCTGAAGATAAATATTCTAGATCTGATTGGATTTAGACAGATCTGGACTAAGAACGCCACTTAAAATGAAAAAAACCACCGGAATCCTTCAGGTCTGTTGGAAGTTGCTGGAGAAGGACGTAAAGATGGTGATAATGAGTTTATCCGGTGGCAGGAGACAACAGCATGACGAAGATGGTAGGTGGCAGTGGTGTATAATCGTCGGAGGTTGGTGGCGGCGGTGTTGTACAGTCACCGAAGTTGTGGTGGATGTTGTAAGAGAAAGAAGTGTTTGAAAGTTGAGAGAATTTGAAATCTTATGAGAGAGTGTTTGGTGAAAATGTATAAATCTGATGTTAAATGATAAGAAAAAATATAGATTGACCAAAACACCCTTAATGAAGTGGTTCTTAAATGGTTCTTAACCTTTTGGGGTTCTCATTTGATCTTATATATATATATATATATATATATATATATATATATATATATATATATATATAGGCAAAAGGGAATATAAGGCTGTGATGTATGTATGCTTGGGTATAGAACCCTTCAAAACTACACTGTTTTGCGATGAGTCTATCGAATCTCGTTCCCCTATTATACGGTTTGTTTAAAATTACATATTTTTTAATTATAGATACCTTATTTGATTCACCTGTTGTTTAATTCCCATAAAAGATACTACCTACTGTGAATTTGATTACGTTGTTTTTTTCTTCCGTTCTTCCCTACCTGCTAATTTTCTCTCTTTTCTTATACCTTTCGTCAAGACTTGTTGATCATTGTGTTTTGTATGACCTGCTATTCGGTGCCCCCACTTTTCGATTTCAATAAAATAACCACTTGGTTCGAATTTGACATCATCTTTTTTCTTCTAGCTTTCTCTTTGACCTGCATCTATTTCCAAATTCCCGTGCAGTGGGTGTTAGGAATCGGATCGGGTACATGCAGCGGAAACACTATCACACACACAAACACACGAAGGAAATAAAGCAAGAAGGAACACAAGGATTTTACGTGGTTCGGATTCGGTGTAAATCCTACGTCCACAGGCGCAACTAGATTTTATATTAACTCACTATAAGATTACAAATGGTAATATCACTCGGCACAAATACAAAGAGTTACATCGCACATATATATACTGAGAGAGGAGCCGTTTTGTTTGACCAGCCACCATTTGAATTTTCTTCCATTCACATGTTACGGCCGAAACAAAATTGCACATGGATTCCATTAAACAATTAATACTTTTGCCGTCCACTCACCGTCCAATAAACAAATATTAAACAATTCAATTGTTTAATTTGTCAAGTTACATTTATGGCCCTTGAACTCTTAGGAACTTGTCAATTTGTTCAAGACTCCATAAATCTTAACAATCTCCCACTTGGAGGCTTGAACAACTTTAGCTTTTCTCCGCCATTCAACTCTCAATTATTCCAGTAATCTTAAAAAACAACCAAGTCCTTTTAGGCTTCCAGTTCCAATGAACAAGCTAAAACTTAGTCTGATTTCTCTAGTTGCAGCCGCCCCTCATCATCAATTACTAGAAGGGCCAGTTGAAGCTCCCACTAGCTCCAACTCAGCCGTGGCTAATCCCACCACCGACTCATCCTCTGTCTCAACTGGTTTGGACACTCCACCGGATCCAGAGATACACCGAGGACCACTAACACTCTCCTAACTTTGAAAACATTCAACAGGAGAGAATTTTTCAGTCTTAGTCTTCAAAACCCAACGACTCTTTGTAACTGTACCCGAAACACGTCCCGTGCTCCCACTGTCACAGAATCCCCTGAATGGTTTAGACTTTCGAACTCGTTCAGCTAACATCTCTTTGGCTCCAGAATTCATGTTTGCAAAATGAACTCTCTTAGCCGTAGATTTAGCGAACCAGATTTTGTCTTGCTTAACAGGGACGGTCATACTTCCCTCAGCAGGTACCTCAACCATATATAATGACCCACGCTTCAAACCTTGAGCAATCACCGAATTACCATTGACCACCATCCATTTACCACCACCAAACCTTACTTCCAGTCCTTGTTTATCCAGCTGACCAACAGAAATCAATTTTTTCTTCAGCTCCGGAATAACCCTGACATTCTTCAGGCTCCATGTAGTTCCTAATGAAGTAACTAGATCAATATCTCCCATGCCCGTTACCTGAAGCATCTCATCATTTGCCAAACGTACCTTTCCAAAATCTCCTTCTTTTAGATTCACCATCGTTTCCCCGTTGTCCATGGCGTGAAACGAAGCCCCTGAATCCATGACCCAAGAGTCTACAGAACTTTCCATACTGAGTATCAATGCATCATCCTCAGACACACTCTCAGCACCAGCAATGTTCAATTCTTTCTTTGGACATTGACTCTTAACATGTCCCACTTCTTGACAGTTCCAACATTTCACATTCTTCAAAGTTCTAGAAGAACTTTTTCCCCGACTCCCACTGCTCCTGCTATTCCCTCTACCTCTTCCGACATTTAATAAATCAGAAGAGGAAGATCCACCTTGATTCTTGCGTCTGATATCCTCGCCTAGAACCAAATCTCTAACCCCTTCAAAAGTCATACCACTGGTCCCCACGGAACTCGTAACAGCAGTAACTGTTCCGGACCAGCTATCAGGTAGAGAAGCTAGTAGCAGCGAAACTTGAGTCTCATTATCAAATTTAATTCCCACAGATATAATCTGGACAGAATTGAATTTAGATTGTTAATGTGAACCGTAACTGAGCCTTCCTCATTCATCCTTGTAGTGAACAGCTCCTTCATCAAGAACACCTTGTTAGCCGCCGATGGTTTCTCATACATATTTGACAGAGCCTCCATCATACCACGCGCCGTGGTTTCATTCATGATGTTGAAAGCAACGCTCTTCGTCAACGACAATGTAATAACCGCCTTGGCTTTCTTGTCCTTTGAGTTCCACGCATCTTCAGCAGCTTTTTCAATTTTCTCCGGTTTGTCTCCGAGTACCACGTCCAAGTCTTTCTGACATAGCAATGCTTCTAATTGCATTTTCCACCAGCTAAAATCAGAACCGTTGAACTTTTCGATTACCACCTTGTCTTCAGCCATTATGACAAACAAGATACAAATCAGGTACACTCGTGCGTGATAAAAAAACAATCGTACCCTCCAAACCTCGCTAACCATGCTCTGATACCAGTTGTTAGGAATCGGATCGGGTACATGCAGCGGAAACACTATCACACACACAAACACACGAAGGAAATAAAGCAAGAAGGAACACAAGGATTTTACGTGGTTCGGATTCGGTGTAAATCCTACGTCCACGGGCGCAACTAGATTTTATATTAACTCACTATAAGATTACAAATGGTAATATCACTCGGCACAAATACAAAGAGTTACATCGCACATATATATACTGAGAGAGGAGCCGTTTTGTTTGACCAGCCACCATTTGAATTTTCTTCCATTCACATGTTACGGCCGAAACAAAATTGCACATGGATTCCATTAAACAATTAATACTTTTGCCGTCCACTCACCGTCCAATAAACAAATATTAAACAATTCAATTGTTTAATTTGTCAAGTTATATTTATGGCCCTTGAACTCGTAGGAACTTGTCAATTTGTTCAAGACTCCATAAATCTTAACAGTGGGGTCAGTTTGGGCATTGACTGATAACAAAAATTAGAGAATATTTGAATCCTCTTGGTTCTTTTTTGGATTCGAAGATATTGAACAGGGAAGTTAGGAAATTTAAGTCTAATCTATTAGCAAACATTTTCATAGGGAATTTTCATTATTTGCTTTCAGTATCTTTAGAAAACATGATGATCTATCGAGTGCACTAGAAGTGCTCGATGATATGTCAAAGAGACAAGTCGTTAGATGAGTTTATATTGTTCAACCGTTCGTGGGTTTGCTTTAACAAGTCTTGGTTAGATATGAAACATTCACTTGTATCTTTACATAACCTCATGTGTATCTAAAAAAAGACATACTATTTATTCTTTTTCTTCCTCTTCATTTTTTGTACTAGTTAGCGATTGAATGTATCAATCTGAAGTCCTTGGCATCCTCTACATAAGGAGTGAATAAGCAGTAATGAATTGTAGATTATTAAACCAATTAGTAGACGGGCTTATGATAAAAAATTTCTTGCAGGTATAACATTGTCTCTATAACGAAAAAACCCACATACACATCAGAATTCTTCGAAAAAAGAGAAAATAGAAGATCAAAAGTTCCATCTAAATTGTGATTTTGGCAGGACATCTACTGCATTCCTAGAAATGCTTATAGTGCTTAGCGAATTTGTACATTCACTTTTGTAATTTGTTTTAATACTTCAATAAAACTTGGTTCATTATTTCTACTTTTTTTTTCTGTGGCTGTTTGTAAGTCTGGAATAGCAAACAAGTGACATCATGTTCAAAAACTGAATTGAATTCTGATCTCTCATTGACAATACTATGAGGATATTTGATGTCTTGAAAGTACATTGTTATCTCAATATTTTTCTTATAATTGTAGAAGTACATAAGTATTCAACATTAATTCACTGAAATTTAATTGTTTCTAACCCTCGATGTTGGTAAAATGTAACGCCCGTAGATCCGGGCTAGTCAATTTAGAGATAATAGGGGTCGAAAACGAATTTTCGACAAAAGATTATTTAGAATAAATAATCTTAACCAAGTTGTAGAATACGTCTCAAGGTTTCCGTACATATAAAGAACGCCGAAATCCGAGTTATAACGAAGAAGTTATGACCCGTCGAAGTTTTACGGTAGAACCGGCACGGCACCGGGAAACGTAAATAGTGAATTTACGATAGATCGACTTTTAGCCTTAGTGATCTAAACGAAAGTCGTAGAAAACGTTAAATCGAGAACATACAAAAAAAGTACGCCCAAATCTGACTTTGTATGAGGAAGTTATGAATTTTCTAAGATTTGGCATAGCAGTGCACGACCCGAAACTCGAATTTTAGATCGAGCGGTTTT